CTCTTCGAGCTCTTGGACGCGGCTGACGCCGTCGGAGATGACGGGTTTGGCCTTGAGGGAGAGGACGCGGGACGAAACACCGTCGCAGAAGCGGAGGGGGAGGATGGCGCGGTTGGAGGAGAGCTCGGCGTTGGAAGCGTCGAAGAAGATGTTCTCTTGGATTAAGGTTTGGACGTGGAAGGGGGAGAGGAGGTCGGTGAGCTTTTGGTGTGCGGAGGCGTCTGAGAGGCGGAGCTTCACTTCCACCTCCATTGTTTTGGTTGCTAAAGGCCTGACGAGTGAACAATGTCGTGTGTGCTTCGTTGATATCTGATATGGAGCTTATGGTGGGAAGATGAGGAGAGATTTTTATTATTTTTATTTCAAAATACTAATTTATTTATCTCTTTCTTGTTTATTTCTTTTGCCTATAGAATAACAAAGCTTTGTAGCTTATGTTGTTAAGAGTAGTTACACTATCCCGAGATTCTGTATTCTCCTTCCGAATTTCGCTTGTTTATAAAAAATGAAAATAGAAAACCAAACGTTTGAAGAAATTGAAAATGGCATTACTAATTTATTATATGGTAAAGGTAAAATAGAATAAAATTACGGTTCTTGTATTCCCACTTAGTACTAGATAGTATGATGGCATGTTTATTAATCCGTAATTGGATTATGAGGAATTGAATTGAGAAGGAGTTGGATTGAGGAGAATTAGATTCCGAATTCTTATTGAAGTTATTTACTAAACCATATGGATTGAAGGGAGTTAGATTCCGGATTCCTATTGAAGTTGCTTACTAAATCATATGGAATTGGAGTAGTAAAATGTTCTCGTTGTTGGGTTAAAGTAGTTGGCAAATTTGGAATTTTAAAAATTGTGTGAGGATATAATGAGTAAAGAAAATGAATTCATAATGGGTTAGTTCTCCAAGAATTAGAATATCATCTCCCACCCAAGAATTGAATTCTTCCAAAATCAAGAATTCAATTCCTAATTTTGTGTGAACCCCACTTACTTTTTAATTCCTTGATATGAAGTAAACGCATCATAGGTGGAATTCAATTCCTGATGAGAATATTAATTCATGATTAGTAAACACACTATGAGTGTAAAGGAAAATCGATCTCAACGAATCCTGAATGTGAGAGGCACGTTATATGTTTGTTTTTAGTACAAGCGATAGTTTAAATTATAGAGGATGAAGATTTCTCACACACACACACAACTATAATTCTATAGGAATTTGAACCTGAGACCTCTGGTCAGCAAATTAAGGTCATTTTTCACTAAGCTAGACCCCGTTGGCACGAGGCACGTTATATGTTTTGATGAGAAAGTGAATAGAACTTGACATATGTAGTAATTAAATGGGTCATGTTAGGGATACCATCTTTAGGAGAAACACTTATATGAAACGAGGATAGCACTATTTGGTTATCCCGATGAATCACGGTATGCCACGTGTGATCACTTTTCCATGTGTCAGTCTGTAATTGGTCAAGAATAGCAAAATAGTGTTATCCTAGTTTTATATAAGTTTTTCTGCATTTTGGAGACCAACTTGTGTACAATCTCTCTAATAGACTCCACTTCTATTAGAGAGATTGTTCTATTAGAGAGATTGTACACAAGTGGGTCTCTAAAGATGCAGAAAAATTTGTATGGAACGGGGATAGCACTGTTATCCTCGGCCAATCACATATTGAAACATGGAAAAGTGATCACGCGTGGCATACCGAAATTGGCTAGAGATAGCAAAATAGTGTTATCCCCGTTTCATATAAGTGTTCCTCCTAAAGATGGTCTCCCTATCATTTTCCTAATTAAATATGTATGACATGGCACATGGCACATCGTTTAGAACTTAAATTTAGTGTACAAATTTGGTGTCTCTAGTATTATTGAGATTTTATATACCTAACATTTTCTTTTGATGGAATAAATCTGAACATGTTATGATGTTCAAAAGCAATGAAATGTTTGAAAGTAAATACTTTTCTTGTAAATTTTGAATGAAAGTCATTGGTTTTCAATTGACCATCATGTTGAGTTTTCCTATACTATATTCTCTTGCTGAAGAGAGAGTTAAGGATAGATGCGGGAACCATTATCACTTGTAAGATTTAACGAACGGTTGAGATGGGACGGGTTTTTCAAGTGGCAAACAGGTAAGTAAAACCCGTAAGAAAATGAAACAAAACAAAACCCTCACTTAAGGGTGTAAGTTGGATTGGAAAATCCGATTCCGACCGATTCCGGTATGAAAATTTCCAAAAAAAATTGACTCTGATATCCGAATATGCCGAAATCCGAAATTTCCAATAAAATTTGGATCGGAATTGGAATGTATCCATAAATTCTGAAATTTCCGAAATTCCGGATAGAAAATTTTTGAAGTTCTCCAAACCCATTTCGATCTGATTTTTCTGATTTTTTTTTCCTAAATATTCCGAGTATATAATAATATTTTCTAAATTCTAATTCTAACTGCATTGTTTTTAGTTTGTAAGTCCTATATATGTTTCAATTCTTATTCGTTATATTTCAATACCTGCATACAAATAATCATATATGCATATATACCAAACATAAGAATATATAACTTTAAGACTATATATTTTTGACAACTATGCTGTTTTTTTTTTTTTGGAAGGCATTGAAATTCCCTAGAATGGCCAATCGATTTGTTTCTTAATACTCAAACACTACAACAGGATTGAAATACTATAACAATCTTGTAAGTAGAATTCCAGAATATGTAGCAGCACTAAACTCAAACAAAAGCACAAGGGACACATGATATGTTGACGTAGTAAAAAACCTCAAGATAAGGAAAACAATTGCGGGCACTATGCCGGAAACCAAATAACTATGAGAAATAATACAAAAAGGTCTTACAAGTCTCAACTCACAAGACTAACACTCACATGGAAAACTTGCCTACTCACCTTTGCTACTCAACCCAATCAGCGATCTTGTCTTCCTTCGTCAACAAGAGATGGCACAACATTGGTCTCGGCTACTCACACCTCAAGGCACGATTGTTGATCACCAACATGCATAATGCTCATCAACTCACACATATATGAAAAGATGATGATTTAATCACTCATGGAGGCTAACAAGGAACAACCACATGAGTTTTCAATATGAACGCTCAAAAAACATTCCCCTGTCATTTTCTTTTCAAAGTCGCAAAGAACAAAACGACTGAAGTTCCTTATTTTGCTCTCTTAAAACTAGGTTAGAGACCAAAAAGGCTACAAAAATAGGCTTTTTCCACAAATATATTCTTTCATTGAAACAAATAAAGCCACTTAACTAAATACCCAACTGAAAACACATAAGAACCCTTTTATCAACACAAAGCCGCGCATAAATAAACACCAACTAAAGAGCATAAACTCATCGTTAAAAACTCACTGATGTCTGGCACTAGATTATGTAAGACTGAAACCATATATCAGTCTTACAAAATTGACAGCCACTTTTGATGAACTTCCAAATATGCAAATATGAATGCGTGGATGCAAAACGTACATTGGCATTGTCTCTGAGCCACACTGATCCAGGATAACAGAACGTCACTTAAAAACTATAGATTACACTCAAAGACCTGCGCTTGTTTATTTTATTTTTTTTGGAATAGATGTTTTATTTATAAAAAAAAAAAAAAAATTGTGCTTGTTACGTAGTAATATATAACTTTAAGACTATATTTTTTATTATTTATAAATATGCTTATTTGAATATAACAAACATACATATGTATGTTTGTTATATCCAAACCTTGTATATGTGAAGAAATGAAACATTGTTAGATAAATTGAGATATAAAAGTTTGGAATTTACTTTGATGTTTTCAGAGTTACTCTGATCAACAATGCATGTAACCTCTTTAAATTGGTATGATCATATATATTTGAATTGAAACTAGATGTCGACTAAATATGCAACTTTGTATCCCAAGTTAGATAGATGGTTTTTGGCGTAATGGCTATCCCAGCTATCCCATACAAGAACTGTGATCTGTAATAAATACTCTCATCAAATCAGAATGAAGAAGCAAGGGAAACTTTAGAGGGAGAAACTGAGATGATTAGTTTTCTGGTGGACAAGACAAGGGAGTGGTTGCCATCCCACGTCGTTTTTATTTAGTGGTTGCGATCCCACATCGCTTTCTTAGATAACCTCATCTGTTTTCTTCTCTATAAAAGCTTCATCCCTGTGTGGTCAGCGCTCGAAAGTCAAACCTCATCTTGTTTTTGGGCTGAACAAATCTTTCTATTTGGGCTTTCTAAATGCCCAGCTGGAGTCTTTCAAATTTTGACGACTTAAAGTTCATAACCATTAACTAGTATTAATCATTTCTGAATTTCGAGATTATTAAAGTTCGAGATTTCCGAAATTGTTATCCGAATTTTCCGAAATTAATAACTTTCCGGAATTTCCGAAATTTGCCGAAAATTCTATTTTGGAATAGGAAATGTTTTTTTGGGTCAGATAATAACAATTGGGTGCCCTACCTCACTTCGATCTTTAAAGCTTCGATTTTGCATTCAAATCAAACCCAGTCTCCTCCTTCGCGGACTCACCAGAATCGGCCTGAACCGCTCTAAACCGCTTTGTGTACAGACTCAACCAAGAACATCAGACCCATTTGGGTTTGCAGAAGCTATAGCCATCACGCCCACTATCGTTCTTCTTCTGTTGTAACTGTATGTTTTCTGCCACCTTCTTCTCTTCTTTCTTCTTCTTCTTCTGCAACCCTAATTTCTTTGTCACTTTTTTATTCTCTTTAATTCAGGGGTCTAATTTGGTATTGTTTTAATTAGTTTGTGAATTGGAGTTCTTCTGCCCTTAAAATTAGCTCCAATCAATAATCTACTCACAAAATATGTCCTGATTGGATAAATGTTTCTTTGTTAAATTTTAATACTTTAACTTCTCCTGTGTATATTTATGCACGTATGTCATAATAATTTCGGTATTAGGGAATTGGGTTTTCTTTGGTTTTACTGTTTTGCTTTTGGCAGTTCGGTTTGCTTTTGTTCAATTCAATGATTCCGTAGAATTTTGTTGTTCTATAGGAACTTTAACCATGGAAGAAGAAGATGACTATTCTGAGTATGTACCTGTGGCGAAGCGGCGAGCTATGGAAGCTCAGAAGATTCTTCTGCGCAAGGGAAAGTCTTCCGGGCTTGAAGAGGACTTGGAGAAATCAAAGCTTGCTGAAGCCAAACCTAGTCTACTTGTTAAAGCATCACAGTTGAAGCGTGAAGCTCCTGAGATTACTCCAGCCGAGCAGATGGTGCAACAAGAGAAAGAAATGATTGAGAACTTATCGGATCGCAAAACGCTTATGTCAGTTCGTGAGTTAGCAAAGGGAATCACTTATACGGACCCTATACCAACAGGTTGGAAATCCCCATTGCATATAAGAAGGATGCCAAGCAAGCAATGTGATTTGGTCCGAAAGCAATGGCATATCATAGTTAGTGGTGAAGATGTTCCACCACCTATTAAGAATTTCAAGGATATGAGATTTCCTGAACCGATTCTGAAGATGTTGAAAACCAAGGGGATTGTTCAACCAACCCCCATTCAGGTGCAAGGTCTTCCAGTGATTTTATCAGGGAGGGATATGATTGGTATCGCATTTACAGGTTCAGGAAAGACATTGGTTTTTGTGTTGCCATTGATTATGGTGGCATTGCAAGAGGAGATTATGATGCCAATTATTCCAGGAGAAGGGCCTTTTGGATTGATTATTTGTCCATCAAGGGAGCTCGCAAGGCAGACTTATGAAGTGGTGGAAGAATTTCTCATTCCTTTGAGAGAGGCTGGATATCCAGAGATAAGGCCTTTGCTCTGTATTGGTGGAGTGGATATGCGGTCACAGTTGCAAGACAGACTTATGAAGTGGTGGAAGAATTTCTCATTCCTTTGAGGGAGGCTGGATATCCAGAGATACGGCCTTTGCTCTGTATTGGTGGAGTGGATATGCGGTCACAGTTGGAGATTGTGAAGAAAGGCGTTCATATAGTCGTTGCTACTCCTGGAAGGTTGAAGGATATGCTTGCAAAGAAAAAAATGAATCTCAACAATTGCAGGTAAGGACTGTCATTTTACAAACTCTAATTCACATGTCCTTTCCATTGATGGGCTTGTTTGATATGATGGATTTCTTTTCTCCCCTTCTTGACAATCTTCTATCTGCAACTTTATTGATGTTCTGTATAATTACAATTATGATGATATTAAACGTCACTGATTTCTTTTGCAGATATCTGACTTTGGATGAGGCAGATAGATTGGTAGATTTGGGCTTCGAGGATGACATAAGAGAAGTGTTTGACCACTTTAAAGCTCAACGACAAACTCTCTTATTTTCAGCCACCATGCCGACAAAAATTCAGAACTTTGCTAAAAGTGCTTTGGTAAAACCTGTCACTGTGAATGTGGGAAGAGCTGGAGCAGCAAATCTTGATGTGATTCAGGAGGTTGAGTATGTGAAGCAAGAGGCCAAGATTGTTTACCTTCTTGAATGTCTACAAAAGACCCCACCTCCTGTTCTAATATTTTGTGAAAACAAAGCTGATGTGGATGACATTCATGAATATCTTCTGTTAAAAGGAGTGGAAGCAGTGGCCATTCATGGAGGGAAGGATCAGGAAGAGAGGGAGTATGCCATTTCTTCCTTCAAGGCAGGGAAGAAAGATGTCTTAGTTGCCACTGATGTTGCCTCCAAGGGTTTGGATTTTCCTGATATTCAACATGTCATAAATTATGATATGCCACCAGAAATTGAAAACTATGTTCACAGGATTGGACGAACTGGAAGATGTGGCAAGACTGGAATAGCAACGACATTTATAAACAAGAATCAAACTGAGACAACGCTTCTTGATTTGAAGCATCTCTTGCAAGAGGCAAAACAAAGGATTCCACCTGTTTTGGCTGAGCTTAATGATCCAATGGAAGATGTGGATGCAATTACTGATGCAAGCGGAGTTAAGGGTTGCGCTTATTGTGGTGGGCTTGGACATCGTATCCGTGATTGCCCCAAACTAGAGCATCAGAAAAGCATGGCAATTGCCAGCTCTAGAAGGGATTATTTTGGATCTGGTGGTTACAGAGGGGAAATTTGATAGTTTCACTTACACCTCTCTGACTGTTCACTTTACAAGTTGAAAAGGTGAAAAATTTGATCTTTGTACTCTTTTTGTTTATTAATGCGTGTACTTTAGCTTTTCCTTAAACACAAGCCTAAGTTGAATTTGTTAGTGTAATTGGATGACCATTTTCTGCAGTATCTCAAGTGGCTGTAAACATTCTGATAGACGTGTACATATATGTTTTTACATTGAATATGGGACAAGAGTATCTTTGAACATATTTTGCATTTCTTTGATCCTCATCTTTAAAATAGGAGTTAATGTGAAACAAGTTTTGCTTTTTCAACAAAACCCTGTTTAATATAGAGCTGCGCTGCTGCGCAGACAGCTTGAACTTCACAAATCCAAAGCCCCAGGCAGACTGTAAATATTAAGTAATAAACTGAAGTGTCATGTCCATAAAGGATGGTAAATATCAAGTAATATGATGTCACAGTGATATTCTGGGCAAAGAAAAGAACAGAACATGGTTGGCTACATATACTATCTGAGATTACATTTTGATGGAGATGGATTCATCTATCTAAATAGTATCTGCATTACATCAGCAGTGCCAAAGCATTAGCTCTAAGATTTCTGGTGACAAGAGATGGATGTGGATCTTGGTGCAAGATATCTAACAAACTAGTTCCCATTCTCTCATCCTGTTCATCCATCAAAACCAGTCAGCCAAAAATCAAGAAAATTATGTTACAAACTTACAATTAAAACCCATAATTCATATGCTTTCAGGATATAGCAAAAGTACTAGGGTTTAAATTACCAAAGTGAACAGCTTAATTACCTGTTTGTCAAAAAAAAAAAACAGCATAATTACCTGTGAAGAGTTGACACTTGTATTTTCATCAGTAGACTTGAATTCTCTTGCTACCAGATATCTGGGGTCAATTTCTAGCATCTGAAACTGCTGATATATATCGTTCATCAACTTCTTTCTCTCTTGTGCACTCTCAAATAACTCTTGCTTCATAGTTTCAGTTTCTTCTTCAAGAATCCTCAACCGCTCATTTAGTTCTTCAACTTCACTGTTGCACACTACAGCTTTACTTGTTGAACAACCAAGAAGCAGCGGTTTCTTCACTGCCTTTTCAGCACCCCAAGTCCTTGAATCCTGCAATGGTTTTTTCCCACTTGACCTGGCCTCCAAATTGTACCGATACGATTCTCTTTCCTTTTCGATCCTTTGGCGCTCCGGCATGGAACCATTGTTAACTCTTTGCTCACTAGTGCTTGCACACTTCCATGTCGAAAGCTTCTTGATTGATGAACATATTTCGAACTCAGGCTTGACAGTTTCCATTCCAATATTTATTCGAATATACGTGTATATATAGAGACACACACAGAATACGAAGGCCTTTCCTTGGAACTTAGCAATTTGGCCGTGAACTTAATTATATGCGTGCGGATTCCGAGAGGCCATTTAAAGGAGAGCTTTAATACTCTTGAACAAAATTTGGGCATGTACCAGACAGAGTTGGTTAGAGAAAATGTGGAAGTGAATGATGATTGCTTCCGTATACTTTGCTTCACTTCTAAGAATGCTGATGTTTGGAGTGTTATCTGTTATGGCCTATGGATGCGTATTGCAGACTTGCAGTAGTGACAGACACAACTGAGATTAAGGATCAGCTTCTTCTCTCTAAGTGTGTGTGTGTGTGTGTGTGTGTGTGTGTGAGAGTGAGAGAGAGAGAGAGGAAATTGCTTAGCACTTGCTGAATGATAGTGTCTTTTCTCTAAATTTGCCTCCATTCTTATTGGGAGGCAACATCGGCAGCAATCCAAGCGTAAGTTATAGGCCTTCCCTTCTTTTTTTTTGGACGAAACTGATAATTAAGCAACTTCCCTTCTTCTATAAGTCAGGCCTTCCCTTCAGAAACTGATAATTAAGCAGTCGTCAGCTTCAACTTTGGCTCACTGTTGGATATAGTAGGCAAATTTTGGCTCCATTCTACCATTACCCGAGGTTTTTGGTCTTATGCTGAATTTTCAGTGACCAATAGAACCAAATCTTCAGATAATATTACTATCAAGTCCTTCATCACCAACCTGATGACAAACAAAAAAATGACCTTGTTACTAGTCCTTTTTTCCTATTCACCCAATATCTCTTATTTTCTTTGTTTTTTTTTATAAAAAAAATCACCTGATATCATCGTTCTCTAATCACCACGCATCATCAGACATGTCTAAATTTAATGAATCACCCTTTGCTCCTTTGCTACCGATACAATATAATAATATATGTATAATATTCCGAGATAACGCGCACAAATACATATAATGTTCTCATTTGAAAGAAGATCCACCTCCTGTGCATTGAACAAGTGTCATAGTGGATGAGACACCGATAAAAGATAAAAAATCATTTACAAGGAACCTGAGAAAGGCTACTGAAAAAAAAAAATATATACCTGTAGAATAGAGGCTTCACATTTTATTGTACTAAATACACAGGTTGCTTACTCTATACTTTTATTGAACTTGATGAAGATTTTAAAAAGACAAAAAAAGGCATTGATACAGGTGTCTGCTTCGAGTTTCATCTCATTTGTGCAGTAGGAATGTAGATGTTGTTTACCCTTCACTTCAGACTTTTCATCTTGAATTGATGATGTAGGGGAAAAAAAGGAAAGAGAATAAGAGAACCAAAGCATCTTAACTTAATCAATTGGCACTTCAACCTCCATTTTTACGCCATAACTGCCAAGAACCTGTATCACATACAAAACCGTAATGAAATATGTAAAATGCCCAATAGAAATTCAGAAGTTAATAAAACCATGCATGGGTATTCACATTAAATGTCACAGGAGCCATCTGAACTTTAAATTCGCTGATAAGAGAAAATGAAACACTGCCATAAACAAATGCCGGCTCTTATAGATTTGCAAGTTCAGTTTCCAAGTGTACAACAAGTAAGGTAATCAGATGATTCTGTCATGGTTTTTAAATGGGAAAGCAGGCAACCAAATGTTTGATAGTTCTGGTATCCTCTTAGAAGTACATAATGCCGGACCCGAGAATCTAGAACTAAAATTACAGCCCGAAAAAATATTAAATACCTATGCATTTGGCAAAACTTCCATCTCTGTGCCTAAAATTCCTATTAACTTCTGGGTGAGATAATTGCTTGCACTAATTGAACATAAATATTCGATGACTGAAAACGTTATTTAACTTTATAACATATGCTTCTGTAATATGGTCAGTCCAAAAAAATTAAATTTATGTGATATGCTACATCCTCACTCGTTTAGCAAACAGGCTGACTGTCTGAGCAACTGTAATGCAATATTCTTGAAACTGCTTTAGGAGGATAGATCATGGAGCAAAACACAAAGAACTGCACTTGCTTTTTGAGTACAGACTGCTCGCTAAGGGAGACATTTGGACCTTCTAAATTGCATGCATCATTGGGTTGTTAAGATGGATAAAGCAATGACGTATGCTTCATTTTCCCTTTTTCCTTCCAAGTAGTGCAGTTTTTAGTTGGACTAAAGAGTACGGCAATTAATTGTAATGCAACTAGAGAATGCCGAAACATTTCAAACGCCTTTCAAACTCTTTAAGGGATAGAAATGCTTAACTTTGATCTCTGGTGAACACCCAAAGATGTACCTTAATATAGATAAGCGTCAATTATCACATATATTTGGGCATAAAATCAGCCATAGTAAGATTCTGTAGCTGGAGAAGTTGTCAACGAGTTGTTCTCGTGCCACTCGTGCTTACAAAGGTATTTCATCCTTAGTGTTTGAAAATAAAAATGATATAAATAATGGCTATATCATGTCAGCCCTCATTTAAAGCCTAAAAAAGTTCTGAGCAAGATATAAGCAAGTGTACCCATGGTCCATCCTGTTCTCTATATGGTAATGGTTGTCACAAGAAATATATGATAGTAAAACATAACATACCTTAACGAAGTCATCTAACGTCAAATAAGATTCCCTTGTATATCCTGCTTCTTGCAAGACTTGAGTCAACACTTTCTGCAAATGAAAGACCAATATGAACATAGGATACAACACAATTCAAAATTAGCTCCTTGACTACAAAAAACATATCAGTGTGATAAGCATGTCAGGAATTGTAGATAACTAGGCTGAGAATAACTTATCCCAGTCAGGAACTACCAAAAACATGAATAAAAGAAATTAAAGATGCCAGGACCGAGACCTACACCCAGACCCACATATGTAACCGTTATGCATGCCTAATCATAGGTCAGATATGGAGCAACAATGCTCAAATTTATCCGAAATAACTAGTCTAAAAACATTAGAAGTGTTGGCTGAAGAAATTAGGAAAGCAGATTCAATATTTGCAATGACACCAAATATCACTCTATGCAGCCAAACTAACAAGGATAAGAACTTTCAGTTTCTGCATCAGACTAAGGTATTGATAACTTGATGATACTCATGCATAGCTCATGAATTACCAATTGATAGTTTGAGTACAAAACTCAACATACACCAATTAGGTGAGAATCAATCGAAACCATTAACTCTTCTCTTGCAATGTTATGACTGAATGATCAGAGAAAGAGAGAAAATGGATAAAACCTTGATATTACCTCTCTTTGCTCGTCCGACATGAAGGAACCAGACAAATCACGCAGCACTTCTAATATATCATTGAAAGACACCTTTCCATTACAGTCTGAGTCAAATACCTTGAAAATAACTGAAAAAGAGGCCATGTTATGTTAACCCAACACACAAACATGCTAGAAGATTTTCCCTAATTGTCATGAATACTAGAAGAATATATGCAAATTTCAAGAATGGTAGTAGAAGCGATACCAAGTTAGTTGCGAAAGGAAAATAAACAATGATTATAATAACAATATTAAAAAAAATTACCAGCTAACAGAGGTAATGCCTGTATGGCTTCAAAACCACCTACCCAAACTACGTAATCTCATTCACTGGTACCAGTTTTCCTGTTTAGGTTTAGCCGTTTATTTCTTCTCCTTGATAGAGCTTATCCACTGCATCCATGAGCATTAAAAGAACTATTGCAAGTACCCAATACTTGAACAGTTCATATTTTTCACAAGTACTCTGTAGAATATCATACCAACACCTATTTTTTACACACTTTTGTCATCCCTTCAAGAACAAAATGTGTTTACTTTTCTTCCACTTTCATGCATCACTCTTTTCAGTCCTGATTATTTGAGATGATAAAAGACTGATAGCAAAGGTAATTTGATTCATATGCCATAATAAAATTCCAACGCGTAAAGCAACAATAAAGACTGGACCAGAATAAGCAATAACATATACGGAGTTCCTTGACTCTGTTTCAACAACTGCAGAGTTATTTTGCTTCCTGCTTGTCTTCTAAGTGGACTCCTTGTACACAGGGATGCAATTTTTGTCAGTATTAATAAAATTTTGTTCCTTCTCAGAAAATAAAAAAAGTCGGGTTCTTTTGGCATAAAATATAAAAATAAAAATTTACAGAGTTGCACCCATTTGAACAGATATCAATAATCCACACAGAATACACTAGCCACTAGCTTTACCCACTTAGAACATAAAATAACTCATCTAGAACATAGTATCTGAGTTCAACTCAAAATAAGCCAAATACATTTCACAATCGTAAAAGAACCAGTTCACTATAAAATATTAAGCTTAGTGGGATCAGATAACTTACGTTCACTTTTCTGCTGCGTACTCGCTCTAGCACTAAATGCAGACAAGAAAGCCACAAAGTCCTTAAAATTCAAACCATCCACCATCTTAAGCAACCTCTGAGGAGAACGAAGCAGAGCCATAAGTCAGAAACTCACACCATGCATTACCAATGAAACAAAGCGCGTGGATTGAACAAACTAAATATAAGCTCATCCTAGCAGTGGACTACCTGAGAGAGTGGATTCATTGCAAACTCGGGGACCGACAAGAATTCATCAGCTGAGATAAAACCCTTTGCATTCCGATCAAGTTGACAAAATCTTTGATATAAGGATACAATTTCTTGCTGAGAAACTGATTTTCAAAACAAAACCAGATCAACTAAGTATTAGCATTGATAACAACAATAGCAAATTGCAACGCGTGAAAGAGAGACAAAGAAAGAAAAAAAAACAAAAAGAAATACCCACACAAATCATTGCAGTGTTCCTGTACTTCTTCAATGTCATACTGAGTTAGCATGGATGAAGCACTCCCCATTGGTTCTCACTTCAAAGCTACAAAATTTGAACAAAGAACAAGAATCCATTCATCACTTACCCCTGTAAGTCAAAACCCAGAAACCAATAAATAAATAAACACTAATTTTACACTTCAGAAGGTTTGGATGCTGTGTTAGATTGCTTAGAAACGGTGGCAGGCAAAAGCAGGAAAAATTAAAACTTTACAAAATCTGAACTTCTCCTGTCGCTTACATAGTCAGTTTTATTCATTTCTTGGGAAGCAGTTCAATAGAGAACTTAAAATTCAAAATGGTCATTACCAGAATTCCTTCAATTCTTTTTCTCGGCAACCAAACAGAAAATGAGAATAAATAGGAAAATGAAAGAAAAGGCACCTGGAATTCTGGGCCAAAAATATGGTTGGAGGCTCAGATAAGATGATACGATTTGTTGGGAAAAATATAAGAGATGAGCTTTACTTTGTCAGCAACGATAACACTTGAAAAACAGACATTGTTTTTGTCTTAGGAACGACTCGGCGAGGACGTTATTTCGCTGGCAAATTCCCGAAAGAGTTCGTCATCGAATGCTTGCCTATTGTATTAAATAATTTTTTTAAATGTCATTTTTTAAAGTTACGGTCTCATCATTTCACTCATTTTTATGACATTTAGCAAAATTTTTTTTTTTTTTTACAAAAATGGGTAAAAAGAGAATCTCATAAAAATTAATTTATCCCGATTTAGGATCACAGGTGGTCAACCAAGGAATTATGTGAATATCATGATAGTGAGGGAAACTAGTGAAATGCCACACCAACATTAACTCATAATTTCTCTCGATATGAGCCTTTTGTCTGTTAGAAACTGTAACTTAAGTTTTCAGGCACCTTACAAACTTTATCACCTGACGCTATATTAAAGTTTCATGGACCACCAGTCACCAACATATTAATTTTTTTCTTCCTGTTATTCTCATCTTCATTCCAGCATGAATCAAGTAAAATCAGTGCTAAAGACTAGTCAGAAGCTGAAGGTTCAGATCACTAAACCGTTGAAGAAAAGACTCACCATGCATTCCATTTCTCCAACAGAGAATAATCCATCCTTGGTTACTTCTGCACATTATCAATTCAAAGTTTATTTTCACATGCTCTTTTATCTACTAATACCTTAGAATGGTGTGCATTGAAAATTAGAAGAATTTTAAAACCATTCATAAGACTCACCATTGCGCTTCACTCCTAAGTGATTCAGTAAAGCTGCTTCAATGTCTCGTGAACCACGAATCATACATGGTGTCGTGCCACAAACCAAAAGGTGGTACTTGCCCACCTAAAACCAATCAGAGAAAAACACATGGGTACTGGAATTTGCATAATGACAAAATGATACAACGATATTAAAATGTAAAATTTCTTACCTTCGTCCTATTGAACATTGAATAAAATGTTGCAACTTCATATACACGTATAGGAGCAACTTCGATAACCTTCGCTACCTGGACCATCCATGAAACAATAAAATAACTAAAACTGTTCATGTAGCCTCTTTCATTCTCAATAACTGGAACTTCAAATCAGCACAACAATGAGCTTTTAAAATGCTACGCTGTAGAAAAAATATTATACTCAATGATCAAATTTCATTTCAAGTACAAAGTTTGGATATCACATATCTGTGATGCAAAATAGGGGTAGAACTTTGGTTACACCGATCTGACCAATCTGAATTTGGGCAATTCAAGTAAAGGATATTTTATAAATAGACCAATTACAAGATAGACACTAACCAACCACCCCTAAACTGCTCATGTCCACCCCTAATGCAGAAAGAATGACACAACATATACTGACGCTCACCATTGTGTCAACAAATCCCCACAATAGATTTAAAAATTGAACAAACACATAACAGAAAGCTTATGCAATAACAAAAGATAAAGAGCTCGCCTGGCAATTATAGACTAAAGGTAATACGGCAACTACAAAATCTAAATATCAGTGTCTAAACGCATTCAACATGTTAAACAAACCAAAAGCAGGAAAGCTCATATGCTGGCTCTGCATCATATTCAGAGATATTCTAAATTAAAAATTCTTCTGTCTAGAATTATCCAATGGGTACAGAAATCATGACTTGCAAGCAGAGAACAAAGATTGCTCAAGGAACAAGAACTTCAAATCTTTAACTCTTGCTGATTACTTCTTCAGTACTGATTGCAACATTACTATTGTGAAGTTAAATTCTACAATTAACTATTTGAACCAGTGTGCCAATTCAGTCTTAGCACATTCACTCTGATCTCTACTCCTTTTGAACAAAACACACTTGAATCTTTGTTTGATCTAACTATAATCCATATGATCCAAACTGGTTTTACAAATGTTATATATACTTCTAAGCTAGATGAGATACCAGACCAACATATGATATTATCTCAAGCTGGGAGTAACAACATATTATCCAAACTGGGTTTACAAATATTATTATCTGACAATAATTAAATTATCTCAAACCAACATATGATATAATATTTATCATGTTTCTCTCACACACAGACACCAGACTTGTATAGATGTGTTATATATGTGCAAAAATAAGTACAAGATAAACATAATTTTAAACAACCGCTCATGCCAACATACTGCATTCATTGCTGAAACAGGGAGCCATCCTCCATGCTGCTGCTGTGCAAGATCCAACAGAGGAATCACTGCAGATTGCTTGTAGTTGGATGGATAATGAGATATTATCTCTTTCGCCTACAAGTAAAAGGATGACACTTTTTAGAACTTCATTAATATGAAACAATCTTACATGTGCCAAGTAAGACAGCCTATATTCAAAAGCTCAATTCAAGAACTTCCACAGCAACATCATCATCATCATAAATATGAATCCGTAAGAAAAAATGTGTAAAATGTGGCGCATAACATGGGGGATTTAAACCCTATTGGACAATACAATTCTAGAAACTCAACTTAAATACAAGGTTGGAATCGTTCAACACCCTCTAGGCTCTAGTAATGTGGAAATTTGGAAAAAAATCTTGGTTGAGTTGAGGGGGCGAAGAAAACCTAAAAATGAGTACACATCTTTGCTTCTTGCAATGTTAGAATTAGATAGCTCAGCCTAAAGCACACATTGGCAACCCCATTTTTTAATTTTTAATTTTTCTCAAACTATACATGTTTCGCCACATTTACTGCATTGCATTGCCAATGAAGATTATGCTAAAACAATAGAAAGAGGAAACCCCAGAAAGGAAAAAAAAAATCATATTTTTTATAACAAAAAAGTGAGAATTTTATGGATTACCTTCTGTTTGTTAGCTTCGTTGAACTCCCATGGTAAGTCTGGATTGTTATCCGGAGAATCAAGATGCTGCTCAATGTTTCAAATTCCATCCAATAATCCAATCCGTTCAATTAATACAAATAATTTCAAAAGGGCAAATGTAATAATGAAGAAATGAGTAGAACTCACGTAGTTGAGGGCAGTAGAGAAGGATCGGGTAGGCTGCAGAAGAATCGAAAAAGGAAAAATTGTGAGATTATGGGAGTGATTGGGAGGTGAGAAAATGAGAAGGAAAATGGGAGAAAGTAACCTGACTGAAAATCCGACGGATCTCGTGGAGCCGATTGGAAGCGAGGCGAGCCAGCATTTTGGAACAGCTCCGAACACAACTTGCTACTACAGAAGCTGAGAGAGAGAAGGAGAGAGCTTTGGGGCTTCCAATGAACCGGACTCACCTGAAGCTGATGAATGGGATGTCGTAGACGATTATGGACCGTCGGATCTTGTTTCGGTTTGGTTGATCCAGTGCTTCGCGGCAGGAGTACACACTGGTTGAAAGGTGTACCCAATTGGGTTGGGCCAATGTTGGCCAATTGAATGTATTTGGGTTTGGGCTGAGTAGCTTGGATTAGAAGGATTTCAACACAAAGGAAAGTCGAAATTAAGGATTTTATGTTAATCTATATCTACATATATAAAGCAAAAGGCAGAGAATAGTGAAACATTCAAAATACCAGAAAATGTCTTTGGTTAATGCAAACATTAAGAATTGAAATTATTAATTAAATTAGGATAATATGGTAAATTCACACTTTTTCATATTTAAAGAAATTTAAATTAAAAGTAAAATCAGATAATGGATCCTATTTTTATGGAACACAACTACCCATTATCTTTTTTAATTCTAAAATAAATTTTAAATTTTTTTTAAAAAGCCTCTCACGCAGAGAATGGTGAAACATTCAAAATACTAGAAAATGTCCTTGGTTAATGCAAACATGAAGAATTGAAATTATTAATTAAATGAGGATAATATGGTAATTTCACACTTTTTCATATTAAAAAAAATTAAAATTAAAAGAAAAATCAGATAATAGATTCTATTTTTATGGAACACAACTACCCATTATCTTTTTTAATTCTAAAATAAATTTTAATTTTTTTTAAAAAAAGCCTTTCGCAAGCGCGGAAGTGCGTGCAGAGAGGCTAGTGACTAATTAAGTACTTCTAATCGTAGTTATTGGATCACATGTATTATGTGCTAGTCCAGTTGGCTAAAGCATTGTACGGCCCTCTTGTCTCATCCTTACGGTTTCGGAAAATTTTAGAGATGTCACACTAGTTTTAATTTGTCACTTTAAAAAATTAGGGTTTTTAGGTGCAAGTGTCCCTGAATTTGTACCCGATTCAAAAACTGCACCAATCACTAAGTGTGAAGAACAAATACAGAAACTTCAATTAGCACTCAGTTCCTTGATTGGTCTGATCACTTGTTTCTTGATGTATATCCAGAAGACAGAAGACACCCCAAATTTTGGCCTGGAAGCCCAGCTTGCTTCAGGTGCTTGCACCTTTTCCTTTAATATTGTTGAAATGACAGAAGAAGATTGTCAATAAATCTGAAATTATTGTCCCCAACAAGACTCTTTTTGGCATTTTATGATTGTAATTAGCTGATTAATGCAACTATATTATGCCTAAAGCAAGAGTACTCAGCTCCTCTGTGTAAGTTTCAACCCTTATTTCCCTGAGGCAGGTTTTACCTTTCCATTGATGAGATATTTCAATGGCTACTAAGCTACCTATTTGCAACTGTGCAGGGATGTTTTGGAGGTATGAAGAAATTTATGGAGCTCGTATCTAAATCCTTGGAACAATCTTTGAACTGAGATGGAAACTGCTTGTTGAATCAGGGCTATCTTAATTTTCTGATAAAGTTATTCATATAAACTTGAAAATTTGTTCCAATTATTGAAAGAACGAAGTGATTATGAAAGCCTCCTTTATTATATTTAGATTTAGGTATGTAGAGATAAATGATATTTCTTATGCATTAATTTCATAATCTGTTGTCTATGATCCAAGCTGATAATGACGAACGGAATTTTCGACGAACTCAAAGAGGGAGAGAGTTTTTGTGGCCATGTTCTGTACACCTGAACCCCAAAAGGATAGTGAACCTAAAGAAGGCTTGGTCAGCAAGGAAAGACCAAAGTATTCAAAATTGTGCAGGATTATGCAGATCAAACTGGGAATACTACCAGCGAGGAATAAGAGCACTTCATGCGAACCTAAAAATATAAAATATAAAAGTCCGAAGCACTTTAAACCAATAATAAAAAAACACGTGCCATAATGTGTAAGGCTGAGAAGTGGTGGGCATGAGGATATCAGATTCAGCCAATGGTTGACAACTTGACATTAATAATGAAATAGAGAAATGATTCATAAAAGCCATATATCAATCAATTTTAGGAGAATGCCAAAGCAAATATCTGACTGAAAATCATGTTGCAATGCTGAACAACTACATTCTCTCAAAATTTGAGATCTTCATTACTTTCTTCATACAAACAGAAGAAAAATAGCAACAACAAAGAAACAAAGATCTTCTTCAGCACAGCTAGAATTCTAATTACTTGAGCATAAATAGATGCATAAGCACAACTTCTCCTACTCTAGAAACAGAGCATATTATCTTAGAGACACAGAAGCAGAATCGAGAGGAGCACTATCTTTGTAACCTTCATGAGCACCGTTCCAAGGAGCCTCACCGCTTCGATTTTGAGTAACAACATTGCTTCCATTTTGAGCACCAACTGGAAGCAATTTCTGTGACTTGGCAGGCTCTTCTTCTCTTGGAATTTCAACTGCTTCTGCAGTCCCAAACAACTGCTTCCTACAAACCTCATGCAAATGCCCAAACAACTCTCTCTTAAGAGCCTCAAATGCCATATCCAACCTCTCCAACTGCGCCATTGCATTCTTGTTATACATAAACAACCCATAATACAAATCAAAGCTGTCCCCAGATGTATTCTCCACCAAATTCAACAAAGTCTCATACCCTTTTGTATTAATTGGTGAAGACTCCAATTTAAACTTCTCCAACACCCTCCCCATTGTATGGGTCACAAATTGTGACCCTGCTGCATGCTTGTCATGTTCTGCACATGACATTTCAACCATCCTGCAACCTTCCCTACCAAAAATGTCTAAAAATTTCTCACACCTATTGAACCTAAACCCATTATTTCCAATTCTAACCTTGTCATACACAAAAGGAAGATTAACCCATGAGTTTTTACCACTCTCTGGTCCAAACATTGGGTGTGTGCAAAGAATATCAAACTCATCAGGCAAATACTTCAAAAACAAATCTCTTGGAAATTCTTTGACTGAAAGAACATCAACAAACAGGGTATTTCTTCTCAGCCTCTGAAAAGGGAACGACTTGATTACCTTTTCAGTGGACAAAATTGAAATGCAGAGAAGAACAACTTCTGGGTGTTGCTCACAGAGGTCATGTGGGTCTGTGAAGAATGAAACGCCGACGTTTTCTGCAACTTTGGAGTAGTCAGAGCGAGATTGGGCGAGGACTGTGTGGCCTTGTTGAACGAAAGTTTTGGCCAAGAACTGGCCGAAATTGCCGAACCCAATAATGGCGATTTTGAGGGTGTTGGATTTTTGGTAATGGGTTTTGATTCGGGTCTCGTAGTCAAAAGGCTGAGCTGCGTCGATGGCTCGAACTCTGAGGCGTTGGAGATTAAGATGGGTCTGGATTTTTTGGGGTTTGCGAGTGGAAGAAGGTGTGATAAGAGAGTGAGAGATTGAGTGAGAAGATAGATAGAGATTTGGAGTGAGAGGAGAAGGTTTGGTTTGTGTGGAAGAGAATGAGAGCATTTTTGTTGTTGTTGTTGTGTTTGTGTTTCGTGTTTTTTTTTTCAGAGAGAGAGACGGAGAAGGAGAAGGAGAAGGAGAAGGAGAGGGAGAGAACAGAGGCTGGAATGAAATGGAAATGAAAATATTGGAACTCGATGAAACTGATGGCATGTTTACTAATTAGGAATTGGAATTCTCATCCGGAATTGAATTCCGACTATGGAGAATTCCTTCGTTTACTTCACATCAAGGAATTGAAAAGTAAGCGGGGCCCACACAAAATTAGGAATTGAATTCCTGATTTTGGAGGAATTCAATTTCGGAATTGGAGGTGGTATTCTAATTCTGGGAGAATTCACTCATTAGGAATTCATCTTTTTTACCCATTATATCCTCACACAATTTTCAAAATTCCAAATATACCATCTACTTTAACCAAAAAATGTGGACATTTTAGTAATTAGTACCACTTCTACCCCAATTCCATATGGTTTAGTAAACAACTTCAATAGGAATTCGGAATTTAACTCCCCTCAATCCATATGGTTTAGTAAACAACTTCATTAGGAATCCGGAATCTAATTCTCCTCAATCCAACTCCTCCTCAATTCAATTCATCCTCAATTCAATTCCCCTTAATTCAATTCCGGATTAGTAAACATGCCATGACTGTTAAACTAGATTATAGAACTGAAATTGTTGACCAAAAAAAAAAAAATATTATAGAACTGAAATTGGTAGGAACAAAATGTGTGGAAATTTTTATTTTTTTTTACACTAGCGTTGTGAGGTTTTCTTCCAGGTCCCTCAAGGATTATTGTTGCGTTATTAATTTGAGATGGGATCTGGTTTATATGCCCACGCCATGCTGCCAACTTAATTGCCATGAACAAATTAAGTAAGGTTTTACAATAGGCGTCAACTAATTGATACATGCCTTTTACTTGCGTGTAAGTAAGTATAGGCAGCTGACCACACACAGCTCTATGTAGGTCCACCAATGTTCGTGTCCGAGTTATTGTGTCATGTTGATATCGTGTTGAACTGTTAGCCACACGTTAAGCTAACGTGTCATGTCGTGTAAATTCGCAAATACCCATTAACCTGTTAAGCTCATGGGCATTTTTGTAAATTTATATATCTTTCTTTTTTCTTTTTTCTTTTTTCTTTTTTCTCCTTCTCTTTCTTCTCTTCCTCCCCCATTACCCCGACTCTCCCACTGTCTTTCTATCAATAAGTTTCTTCTCTTTTCATTATTTTTCTCAGAAACTAAACATAGCTCTCTCTTCTCCTCTCTCTCTCTCTCTCTCTCTCTCTCTGCTACTCCTTCAACGAACTGTCTCTCTCATTGGTGCCCACACACAGCTCTATGTAGGTCCACCAATGTTCGTGTCCGAGTTATTGTGTCATGTTGATATCGTGTTGAACTGTTAGCCACACGTTAAGCTAACGTGTCATGTCGTGTAAATTCGCAAATACCCATTAACCTGTTAAGCTCATTGGCATTTTTGTAAATTTATATCTCTTTCTTTTTTCTTTTTTGTTTTTTCTTTTTTCTCCTTCTCTTTCTTCTCTTCCTCCCCCATTACCCCGACTCTCCCACTGTCTTTCTATCTATAAGTTTCTTCTCTTTTCATTATTTTTCTCAGAAACTAAACATAGCTCTCTCTTCTCCTCTCTCTCTCTCTCTCTCTCTCTCTGCTCCTCCTTCAACGAACTGTCTCTCTCATTGGTTGCGTCATTAATGGAGGTTTATGGATTGGGGAAGGAGGAGAGAAGGAGGGAGAGGGGGACTGTGCAGTGGTTCTATACGTGGGTTTTTTTTTTCTTTTTCAATTTTCAATTTTTTAAATTTTTTTTAATTCTTAACAAGTGAAACAGGTCGTGTCGTGTGATTTGTGAATTGTAACGGGTCGTGTTCGTGTTTGACATTTTCCACCCGTTTTCTTATCGTGTCGTTTTGTGTCAATCTGTTAAGAAAAGCGGGTTGACACAAAAACTGCGAACACGACATGAATGC